TGTGCTCTTCTAACTGCCCTGGTGTCTGGCTGCGCGTAATCAGCGGCCAGGCGATTTGCCTCAACCTCCCACCCCGCCATAAACGTCTCCCCCTTACTCTCACAGAAATTGTGGCGCACACAGCAAGCAGTAATAACGATGGAAATATTGGTTTCGCTGAGGTCTAACCGAGTCAGTAAACTGCGTCAGCGAGCTTTTAAACATCCAAAGGCACATTCTACCACCATTCTGCACTGCTCAGCCTATAGTTGAACTGGTCCTTACTACTGTCCAGGCTTCATGAGCCATGGGAGCAAGGGGTAGGCTGGGTTAGGTGCGACCGCGCGGTACTGCCGACTGGGAGAGCAGCCTGAGGCAGAAGCCTCCAGCTGGCATGATATTCCAGGCAGGACTGAATCTCCATTAGACGAAACTTAAAGAAGAGAACGACCTGGAGTCATTCCCATTTTTGTCCAGGTGCCCCCGACTGACCTCACCAAGGCCGTCCAGGAGCACCCATGTCTGCCCAAGTGCCCCCCAACCAACCTAACCGAGGTCGGCCAGGAGCATCCACACGACGATGACGACGGCTAGCAGTCGTATTGTACCATCTGCTGTCCGCAAGGCAAGGCAAGGCAAGGGGAGGCTGCTGTGTAGCACTGCAGTACCACATCTGCCAGCAGCACCCAGGAGACATACGGTAACAGTGAGCTGAGCGGGCTCCATGCTTGCTGTGGTATGTCGTCTGCATGGGTAACCCAGGAAAAAAGGTGAGAAACGATTTTTTGCTGTTGCTTTCATGGAGGGAGGGAGGCCTGAAGACATGTACCCAGAACCACCCGCGACAATGTTTTTGCCCCATCAGGCATTGGGAGCTCAATCCAGAATTCCAATGGGCAGCGGAGACTGTGGGAACAGTAGGATAGCTACCACAGTGCAATGCTCCGAAAGTGGACGCTAGCCTCGGTACTATGGACGCACACCACCGACTTAATGCGCCTAGTGGGGACACACACAATCGACTGTATCAAATCGATTTCTAAAAAATCGACTTCTATTAAATCGACCTAATTTCATAGTGTAGACATACCCTTAATCTTCTTGATCTAGCCCTATCATTGTACAACTTAAAACTATAAGAATATTAATTAATGTATTTAGTATCTTAAAGAATATTTAAGTTTTATAGCTCATCTCCTTTAAAGGTAAAAAAATATGTAGACCATTAAAGAATCCATTCAAGAAAAAAGGAAGATCAATTTTTATTTACTCAATTTCTAAACATCTAGCAGCCAGGAGAGGAAGTATGAGGTGGAGCAGGAAGGATGAAAAAGATGAAAAAGACCTCACAATGGTACAAAGTGACTGGAAGAAATAGGATTCAAAGACGTGCTAAATACAGAGGTGATGTGTAAGGTCTTGTAAATTAGATGTCTTTACGCTCAGATTCCCTTGCACTCCGCTATACTTACATTTTAATGAGCTGGAAGAAGGTATAAAAGTGTATGTTAAAAGGAGTCTGGAGACAACTTTAACTCTTTACACACTTCTGTTTGGTGTATACATTGCTTGTACTTAGACTCCCTTACATATTGGTGATATGGATACAAGAAGCTCCTTGGGGTGCTAATGTGTAAGATGGTTTAACTTGCATCATCTGAACTTGACCCACAGTCCAGAGGAACACTGACCCTCTCTTCACTGACAATCTCATCTCTTTTTTGCTGCACAGACATTCACACAAACCATTGGTTTATGAGAGCATATTTCAATTAGCTACCGACAATAAACGATTGTTTCAGTTACCTGATCTTTAATGATATATTGTGACAGCATGAATAATTTGTAACACAGTTCTCCTCCCATCCCTAATGGACAATAAAGGGCATCAGAAAGAATCTCTTTGTACAAAGACTCAAAATGGCAGGCTATCCTATGTAACATTTCATGGTAAACAACTGGGTCATTACCATATTCAGCCAATGCTATGGCTAAATTTTATTCCGTTTTTCATTTTGAAAAATTGCACGAGCCTCATGGTACAATAGTTTGCAAACAGTTCTGAGAATTATATACCCACCCTTTGAAATATCTGAAAGGAAGGACAGTTGTGTAGTTACAGGGCTGGGAGCCAGGACATCTGGGTTCTCTTCCCAGTTGTGCCACAGACTTAATTTTGTGACTTGAACAGGTTTCTTAGCTTCTCTGTGCCATATTTTCCTATCTGTGTAAAAAGGGGAGGATAATACATACTTCAGAAGGATAATGTGAGGCTTAATTCATTAATAGTTGTAATACCTAAGATCACTGAACGTAATGTGCCTTATAAATATGAAGTAGTGTTATTTATATGATTGACAGCTGGCTGAAATAACCTCTTAGATCAAAACCTGAGGAATAAAAAGAATAGAAAATAATTCTGTTATTCATTTGGAATTATTCTTCAAAAATAGTTTGACACACTCTGAAGGTGCTTGTTATCTCTACAGAGAATCTGCAGTGAAATCAGTTATTAGCTAAATTAAAAGGCTGACCTTTCTTTTTGCCTCCTCCTTCCACAAACCATTATCTGTATGGCTCTTAAATTTCTTAAGCAAAGTAAGCAATCATGGGATCAGAGGGAAGGTGCTATCATGGATCAGTAGCTGGTTAAAAGATAGGGGGAAAAGTGTAGGAATAAGTGATCAATTTTCACAATAAATAGCATGGTCCCCCAAGGATCTGTATTGGGACCTATGCTGTTCGACATATACATACATGATCTGGAAAAGGGGGTGGACAGTGAAGTTACAAAATTTGTAGACAATACAAAATTACTCAAGATTGTTAGGTCCAAAACTGACTGTGAAGAGTTACTAAGGGGGTCTCATAAAGCTGGGTGACTGGGCTACAAAATGGCAGACGAAATTCAATATTGATAAGTACAAAGTAATTCACACTGGAAAAAATTATCCCAGCTATACATACCTGGGGTCTAAATAAGCAGATGCCACTCAAGAAAGAGATCTTGGAGCCATCATAGATAGTTCTGTGAAAATAGGTGCTCAGTGTGCAAAGGCAGTCAAAAACACTAACAATATTAGGCACCATTAGGAAAGGGATAGATCAGGGGTTCTCAAACTTCATTGCACCATGGCTCCCTTCTGACAACAAAAATTACTGCACGACCCCAGGAGGGGGGACTGAAGCCTGAGCCCGCCAAAACCCCACTGCCCCGGGTAGAGGGGCCAAAGCATGAGCCCCACTGCTCTGGGCAGGGAGGCCAAAGCTGAAGCTCAAGGGCTTCAGCCCCAGGTAGGGGGCCTGAAACCTGAGCCCTGCTGCCCAGGGCTGAAGCTTCATCTTCGGCTTAAGCCCCAGGCCCCACCAAGTCTAAGCCAGCCCTGGTGATCCCATTCAAAGGGGGTTGTGACCCACTTTGGAGTCCGAACCCACAGTTTGAGAACCACTGGGATAGAAAATAAGACAGAAAATATCATAATGACACAATATAAATCCATGGTATGCCCAACCTTAAATTCTCCATATAGTTCTTGTCACCCCATCTCAAAAAAAGATATATTAGAACTGAAAAAAAGTACAAAGAAGGGCAACAAAAATTGTTGGGTATGGAAAAGCTTCCATATTAGGAGAGATTAAAAAGACTGGAACTGTTCATCTTAGAAAAGAGGCGACTAAAAGGGGTTATGATAAAGGTCAATGAAATCATGAATGGCATGGAGAAAGTGAGTAAGATGTGTTATTTACCCCTTCACATAACACAAGAACTAGGGGTCATCCAATGAAATTAATAGGCAGCAGGTTTGAAACAAATAAAGGGAAGTATTTCTTCACTACGTTTACAAGCAACCTGTGGAACTCATTGCCATGGGATGTTTGAAGGCCAAAAGTATAACCGGATTAAAAGAAGAGTTAGATAAGGTCATGGGGCATAGGTCCATCGATTGCTATTAGTCAAGATGATCAGGTGCAACCCCATGCTTCAGGTGTCCTTAAATCTCTAACATCAAGAACTGGGACTGAATGACAGAGAATGGCTCAGTTGACAATTGTTCTGTTCATTCCCTCCAAAATATTGAGCAATAGCCACTGTTGGAAGACAGGACATGGGGCTAGATGGACCATTGGTCTAACCCAGTATGGCAGCTCTTCGGTTCTTATATACAATGGATGATACAGAAGAGACACCCATACATAGTTTCTGATTAAAATCTTTCTGGAAGACAATGAAAGATCAGAATATGGAATACAAACATTTGTGTCATCCTATATCAGGGGACAAAGCATATCTATGATTTAAGCCATTAGGTCTGGGGTTAAGTGGTGTAATGGTTAATCTGGTTCTGGGACAAAAGTGCCTATGCTGGTAGTTTAGAAGGAAACACAAACAGAGAAGGGGCTAATTATGAGTATTGTGAAGCAATGGAAGCAGGAAACAGTACAGTTTGTCTGCCTGCTCCATTCCATGATTAGAACCAAAACTACATACTCTCTATACTCAAACATCATGTTAAATAGGCTGTGCATAATGATGGATCTACAGTGAGAGAATTCCTGAGAGAGACAAATTAGATCTTAGATTGTTAATACTTCCTCAATGAGGGAAAACAAAAAACCCACCCTAACTATTCACTTATTTTGCAAGATGTAAACTGTATATTAGGATTCCATCAAACTTTTAAATATTGTAAGATATTATGCCCTCTATGGATTAGATGAACATTTACTTAAACAATTCTTACAGTTTGACAGAATTTGCTCTATTGCTTCCTGAATAGCCACTTGATTTCAAATTATAATAAACTTGACTTTTCATATAAGAGGAATGAGTTGCTTATTATCAAGCCAAGACATTTTGAAGCATTACAAAAAACATTGAAAACCTGTGGGGTTTAGTATAGATGAAAAATAAATATTTTAAAAATATTGTCTAGCATTTAGCATAACTGCTTTCTTTTCTTTTTATTCTCACTGCAAAGGTAAAACAAACGGAACAAAAATAATCATTGTTATACCAGTTTATTTGCAAAATATTTCAACATATGTTTCTCAGTATTGGCTTGGTTTCTCTGGAAAGACTTGACCTGTTTGAGAGAGAGAGGTGATACAGTGTGACAAACTTAATTAATTGACTTTTAGGAGGAAAAAAGCAGAACAATTTATTCTTCTGCTATATCTCTCATCCTGTACAGAAAGGTCAAAGTTTCAAAATTGAAAAATAGTATAACAATTTCTAAAAAAAACATTAAGGGCTACTGTGGCAGGACTGCTATAGTGCTAACTAAAGTCTCTAAAACAAACTTCAAGGCATTTGGTATTAACAACCACCGATGCACAATGGGATCCTAATTCTGTTGTCACTATTCTGATGCTATATGAGCATAAATCTGTTGAAGTCAATGTGCCAGATTCCACTTTTAGATACTCTGTATGTACACCAATGAAAGTCCACAGACGTTAATGGCGTTACTCTGGATTCACACAGATGTAACTCAGAGCAGAATTTGGCCCAGTGGAGTAATTCAGTATGCTGTTGGTCAAGGGGATTAATAGCGCATAGACTCAAAGGACATTTTAGAAAGGTAGGAAGACAAAAAGCTGATGTATAGTAAATTCATCCCATTTTGATTTAGCAGCTGTATGCAACCCTTCAATGAGAGTGGAAGGCAGTCAGCATTTTGCAGGGGGCCGGCAGCACCTCCCAGGCTCTAAGTTTCAACCAAATATTTTGTAATGCCTTTCCAAAATTATTAAAGAATTAGCTAAAGATTATGTAATCGCCTAACAGATGTGTGCTTTAAATCTATTTGGAAAAAGGGACGAGTATTACTGGCCTGGAGAACAGTTTAACATATGTATTTAAAATATCCCTGGATACATTAGGCCTATAAGCTTTACACCATCCATGGAGAAGATACTTGAAACAGAAATTATCCAGAGGGTATAAATGATTTGGAAAGTTATAATATACATCAAGAGAGGCAATATTGATTGTGCAACAAATCCTGCAGAGGGTATTGTGTTAGTAGCAAAAGTATTGGCAGGGAGATGCTATTACTGTATTTTACCAGGACTTTATGAAAGTTTATAAGATAGATTGAATAAAAAGAAACAATCTAACAAAGATTCTCTTGTATTAATTTAGATGGAATAACTGGGTCAAAGGTGTTAACATAACACTGTTTAATGCTGGACAGTGACTGGGTTAAACAAGGTTTGGGATTTGGTATACAGAGACCTCAGGCTGCTTAGTACCATGGTTAACACACCACTAAAAATCCCTTTTAACCTTTTATTAAAGATACAGAAACTAAGGGAAAACCATTAAAGTATTTGAAATGTAACATAAGGTTTTCATTTTAAGAACACTTCTTGTTCCATTTCCCTTTAGCTGGAGAGAGTTTTAGGAAGAAAACCCTCCAGTCTCTTAAATGGTACCAAAGATGGTAATTGTCCTTTTGGGGAAAAGAGAAGTTAGTTGAGATGGGCTAGAGCTGTTGCTGTTAAAGTTCAATCCTATCTCACCTCAGGTGGTAGTTGGGATTCAGCTGGAGCTGGTAGAGGTGGCGATGTTATTTGAGTCCCTCTCTTTGGGCCCTGGGGTCTCAGGAGGCAGTTGGAGTAGCAGCCATATTGGTGAAACTTATTCCAGTAGCCTCCATATGTATTTCTCCTCCATCTGTTCTTTCTTAAGGAACCACAAAGGGAATGGAGGGTGGAATAGCTCATCCCCTCATTATTTTGTCCACCAGTTTGGCCTAATATCCAACACACTTTGGTTAATTAATTTCTGGTTCCACATTTTCTGTTTTTACCAAGCATGATTTCAACATAGTCCTTAAATTATTCAACTTGGCCTTTTTGTTTGGACTAATTTAGTCTTTCTGTTTGGTTCTTTTGCATCTGTTTATAACATTCTGTAAACATTTGTTATTATAGGTTATTTTAACATTTTATGCACTTCCATATTGATCTCACAACTAAATTAAATTTGTAGGGCCAATTTCCCAACAGTTCCCATCTTTGCAGATCTGGCCCATAGATACAGTGATCAGAATTTTTAGCCACATCTGTCTCCTGAAATCCATATGTCCAACTCAACAGAAAAACAGCCCAGAAAAAAAAAATCTTATTTTACTGCAATCAGTTTAACAAACTCTTTCCACTTGAATGGATTACATCAGACTCTAATCTCATTTCTCATAGCAATACTGGATCATCTGGTCAAACTAATGGTTTAATTATGATCTCATACAAGGTATAATGTCATCAGCTATCTTCTAAAATTGCTTTTTACTCCCATGGTGTATATTTGTGCTGTAGCTGTGTTTACAATACAATGTGCAGTGATGTGAGCTCAGACAAAATATCCAAAATAAGACTACATCCCTAAGACTTTTATACCTTTCAGATGTATGTATATGAGCCTATAACATCATGGCTTTCACAAATTGATTTAATTCTTCCTTGAGCAAATGATAACTGTGTAAATGACACATTCATACCATATAGCCCTTCTAGTTTCTCCAGGATTATTGGCAGTTATATAGAAGATTCTTGCTGCTAATGAAGAGACAGGTGTCATGGAAATCGGGATATCTTCATGTTGCTTTATACATTTGTGTAGAATATAGCCTGTAATTATTGGAGGTAGTTATGGTAATTTTTGCAAAGTGTAGTAGGATGTGTCAGGCATGAAGTCTGCTTAAGATTTTCTCCTTTTGAACTGTCACTTTCTTTCTGTTGAATTGATAGAAAAAACCAAAATGATTTAGTGTAATTTTCCATATATAGTCTATTGAGGCAAGTTCATTTTGGTCCATGGATGGTACTAGCAGCAAAAACTATCATTTCCTTTTGGCATGGACTTATGGATAAACACTCACTCCCATACTGCTGAACCTCACAGAAGTGTTGCATATTATCACCCTGGAGATGCTACTGCTGCACCTCAAAAATCTGGCAGTGAAAATGAACATGTGCAGCTCTGGTTCAGATCCTTCCCGTGGGAACAATCTCAGCAGTTTGTAATGGGCATCTGCACCTCCACCTCTAGAGACCTCACTTGTGAAGTTATACAATGCTCTGTCCACATTCTTATTCTCTTCAACATGTATCTACAACCTTTAAGGAGATCAAGCAACATTCTGGCTCCAAATACCTCCAGTATGAGGATGGCATGCAACTCTACTTATCTTTCACAGTAAATGCTAACAGTACCACCTCCCAGCTGTCCCAATGCCTAAGCAAAATCAATGTTGGGATCAATAGTAACTGAGGGCACCTAAACCTGATCAAAATGTTAATGGGAAGAGAACATTTCAAAGCACTAAGCAAAACTCTAATATCATCTTCAATCCAGGAGGCCAAAAGAGTTCACAGCCTTTCGATCCTCATGGACTATGTTGCTACTGGATTTTCAAATAGCCACAGCTGCCAGAAACACTTTGTTCCATCTACCACTGGCCAAGAGACTAGGCCCTGTCCTATCATTTACCAACTTGGCTGTATGGATCCAGGTATATGTGACTTTCAGGCTCAACTAATGCAGTGTGCTGCATTTGGAAATAACATCATCATCTCTGGGGGAACACAAAACTTCAATATGGCTCAAAATGCTGCAGCCCAACTAGTAAGTAACACACACAATGCAAGTACATCATCCTGGGGCTCCAGATTTACACTTGCCACACAACAAATACCAGACCAAATTCAGAATTCTGGTCCTTCAACACCCTCAAAGGGCTGAATCTAGGCTACTTCAGGGACTCAACTCTTTCTATGTAACTATGACTTTTCATGATAGCTGCATTCCACAGGAGCAAGCGTGAGGCTCTATCCACATATGGGGAATTTGCATCAGTGTAACAACATTGTGCAAGCCCTAATATAAAAGTTTTGCACTGATGCAAACAATGTCTTACACTTGCACAGTTTATTTTGGTATGTTACCGGATTACATTGCAGTGGTGTAAACTCTGCACCTATGCAGCATGTCTACATTTAAACCATCAATGTCATTACATCAGTGCAAATTTCCTTAATGTAAACCGGCCCTATGAGTCATGAGAGTGGGAGACAGCTTTTTCTGATGGGTGAGCAACAGCTCTGGAAGTGTCTCCCTCAGGAGTTTAGTATAATCACGAATCTCACTGAATTCTGGACAAAACTTAAGATTCCACTCTTCTTCATAGCTTTCCCACAATAATAACTTTAGTAATAAAATATCTCTTTTCCTTCCCAGGTAGGTGAAGGAGAGAACCAAACATCAATATTAATGTGACTACATAGCAGACCCATTTAATTCCATAAAATGCTCAGACACCACAGTAAGGAGCACAATAGAAACGCCCAGATAGATGAGATATGTGTGATACCAGCCCTCAACAGGCCTTTTAAAATTAAGATGGTTAAGGGATTTCTGAAAGGATTCAGTTGCTTGCAGCTTTGTCTCACAATTGGTATTCAAAGAACAGAGCTAATTGGTTTTACTCACCTCCTTTGCCAAAACCCCATTCAGAGGTACTTATGTTTCCCATTTCCTGAATTTTTAGTGGTGGTCTAAGTCAACCCAATAAAGGAGACCAGCTTCAGCAGATTCCAAGGATGGCATTGCTGATTGCTGAGAGTCTGTCTGGCCAAGATGGTGTCCATTTCCCAGGTGGAAATCTGATCCCCGTAACTAGACTGCGGACAACCATCCACTAAAAGGCCATTTGTTAGTCATACTCTTCTATGGCTGTCTTTTGTGTTCATAAAGTGTTGACTGAAATATGATCAGCAATTCTTTCTACTTAATGTATGATGCATTATGTTTGAAGCACCATATACATTTAAGATAATTTATGAGTGATACTTAATCATAGTAATATTAAGAAACATCAAAACACATTTAATTATTGCACAGAGATGCTGTATTTGTAAATGCATGTAATTCATTCTAATAATGTGGTATACATATGAAAATACTAAAATCACTTTCATCTTGAGAAATTTTGGGGATTTTTGCATAAAAAAGAACTTTTAGAGTAAGTTGTTGGTGTGGGAGACAAAGTAAAACTGTGAAGTTTCCTTATTCGTTAGCAGCCAGATTGCTCCTTCCTATTTCAGATATCCAAACCCCACAAAAACTGGATTGACACATTATTTTGTGGCACTAAAAGATTTATAACTGCTCCAATTTAGTCAGTGTGAATGCCACCCATCCCTGCTACAGCTACACACAGTATAAGCAAACAGTATCCTATATTTAAGAGGAGGTTTCTGACTTTGAAGACATATGGCAAATCTTCTTGAAGTCAGAAAGAAGAATTGGCATGTAGTACTTGTACTCCTTGCCAGGAAGACAGATTGTACTTTTCTGAGTATACTGACAAATGTCCCTTCTCACTGTGGTTTTGCCCTTTTTATATTACTGTATCATTATTCTTTTCCTTTTGTACTGCACTGTGTAATTTGGATTACTACATTCTTAGGCAATTCTAGAATTCTGTTTTATTTTTGGAATGGTTTAGAAAATGATCAGATGTTAATTATCCTTTCACATATATACATTTATCAGTAAAAATATACTTAAAGAGATATTGCCCATTGTGGTTAGACAAGCAATATGAACATTCAAAAGGTAATAAAACAGTATGTACAACCACAAATAAACTGCAACATTTCTTTTTTAAGTTACATTTTTAATGAGATTTCTGAACCTACTCTTGTGGGCTGTCATTTTACATTTGTGATGCTAATGTGTGGGAACCCAATGTTTATAATTAGTAGCTGTTTTCTTTTATAATCTGCTCTAGTAGTCTTTTAACACAGAAGAACTTCTATGAATATTTGCCTTGGGATTTTTATTGTTTCAAGCAGTGCATTTGTTGCTGTAGTATAAATGTAGTCTTATTCTAATAAGGTAGTTGAACGAACAAACCACCTCCTCTCCTCTTCCTAAAAAAAGGAAAACATAAATGGTCACATACTACCTGTGACTGACTATCTTAGTCTACAGCAGAGAAGAATGGGGGAGGATTTGATAGCTGCTTTCAACTACCTGAAAGGGGGTTCCAAAGACGATGGATCTAGACTATTCTCAGTGGTACCAGAACAAGGAGTAATGGTCTCAAGTTGCAGTGGGGAGGTTTAGGTTGGATATTAGGAAAAACTTTTTCACTAGGAGGGTGGTGAAGCACTGGAATGGGTTACTTAGGGAGGTGGTGGAATCTCCTTCCTTAGAAGTTTTTAAGGTCAGGCTTGACAAAGCCCTGGCTGGGATGATTTAGTTGGGAATTGGTCCTGCTTTGAGCAAGGGGTTGGACTAAATGACCTCCTGAGGTCCCTTCCAACCCTGATATTCTATGATTCTACCTCTACATGTTTTTTTCCCCTAGGGATAGGAAACTCCATGAGTTCTCATTTCCTCTTTCAAAGTGGAGCAGGATTTTCCCTCTGCCCCATACCACCATTGAACTGGCAGGTTGACTGTGCTCTCTGAACCTGCATATCTTGGGCTGTTCAGGTGTGCAATATCATTTTCATGGAGGCCCACAGCCTCCACACTGCTCACTTGCCTCTTTCTTCCCCAGGGCAGCACAGATCATCTCGCATGAGCTATGTTGTCATGAAATTTCTTGCTGATGTCACAACAAAGCTCTAGTACCACTCCTGCAGTTGTGTAAGTGGGAGTTACTGCTACAACTAGAAAAAGCTTCCAAGGAGATGTCAAGGGAAGCATATTCTGCAGCTCCTTGGCTCTAGCCCCCACAGAGCCATGAAGCCACTGTCCCTAGGTATTTGCCTGGTGGGTCTTGCCCATATGCTCAGGGTCTAATTGACCACCATATTTGGGGTCAGGAAGGAATTTTCACCAAGGTCAGAGTGATGTTCTGTGGCCTGCAATGTGCAGGAGGTCAGACTAGATGATCACGATGGTCCCTTCTGACCTTAAAGTATGTGAGTCTATGAGCCCCCAACCTAATCTGTGGGTCCTAATCTGTCATATGATATTTACTATGTATGCAGCCCAAATACTTCTGTCATGGGCAGGATCTTAGCTATAAATTATTTAAAGAGAATTACCATAACTCCAAAGAGGACATGAAACTTAAAAATGATTGAAATAGTGCTTTGCCTGAAAATTCTGTATGTGCTCAGTGCTTGTTTTTGTCATTTAACTAGTTTACATCTAAAAAGGAGATGGACTGCACAGTCTGTCAGCTTTCACAGTCATTCCACGGGACAACAGTTTCTGATCCTCAAAATTGCTCTTCAGTTTAGAATGTATCCCCACCATCTCTGAGTTGAATTCTGTCATTTTGTAGTTAGTTATACATGAGTATTTCAGATTAGTTATAAATACTATAGGCAATGGATATATAAGTACTAATGGCTCCACGGTGTTTAAATTACGACTTGTTCTCTTGAGAGGGGCAAAATGTACCACTTAACTCCATATGGAAAGGGATTAGTAATTGATACATATTGGTACAAAAAACAAATATAACCATGGAAAAGAATAATCTCCCCCCCTCCCTCGCCCTTGCAGGTATGACTGGGTGAAATTGTATGGCCTGTGTTATAGAGAAGGTCAGGCTTAGATATTCACAGTGGTCCTTCCTGATCCTAAAATCTATTAAACCTGTTTATTTCCTTATACAGCCAGTAATGGAGCAAGTCCCAGTACACAATTTACTTGATTGCCCCTATTTAAGAGATGTGATGGGACTCAAATTGTACATAAAACAGATTCAAAGGCAGGATTTCTTTTTTATTTAATGAAGAAACCTAATTGAAATTATAGGGATTTCTTGGGGGAAATACTCAGGCCAGTCATTTTTAAATCCTTTTAAAAACCATGATCTTTTGTTTTATAAAAGGTGTTTGAAGTCTTTGAATTTTTACCCCTTGGCCACCTTTCTCATCTAATAGCTTTAAGTAAGTCCTGAGTGGTTTAAATGATTAAACGTCCTTTGGGGGATTTATGATTTGTATTTCTGATTACACAATAAATATAACATCAAGTTATAATTACACAATCAAGATTAAAATGTTTAATCCTCAAAAATTAGTTCATATCATATTAAGTGGTCATGGATTTAAGGCATATCCAAAGGGTAAGATGACATTTAGGGTAAGGTGACATTTGTCATTAAACTAATACTTCAAAATACATTGAAGGAGGAGAAGATGAATTGAGTGGTGAGAGGAGGGGAGGGGAGAAAAGGGGAGGAAAGAGAAGAACTGAACTTAGGCCAAGAATTAAATCAGAAATATCATTGACCACTTGGACCTCTTTACTTAGGGGTAGACCCTGCTACCCAGTACTCATACTGAGTGGTAACTTACTACACAAATAGTCCCATGTGCACCATCAACTCATGCTAGTCCTACTAAACTTGGGTGCTACCCAACCTAAGAACTTCAGAACCTGACCCATAAACTTTGCAGAGTAAGCTATCACTCAATGCAAGTATGGATGGCAGAATCAGGTTCTCAGAGACATTTGGATGAAAGAGCATAAGAAATGTATTTCTTGAAGTAAATACCTAACTGAATCTTGCCAAAAAATGGGCAAGCTTTCCTTGCTTGAAAGAAATCCTACCCTTTGCACAGATTTCCTCTGTGTATGTTTAATAGATCCCAGGTAATTTGCCTAATTTTGGGCTACTTCCATTAGCCTTATTATTACTTCCCTGAGAATCTAACTTGTTTCTGTTATCTGAAACAATATCTTTGGAATCTTAGAATATCAGGGCTAGAAGGGCCCTTAGGAAGTCATCTAGTCCAACCCCCCTGCTCAAAGCAGAACCAATCCCAGACAGATTTTTACCCCAGTTCCCTAAATGGCCCTCTCAAGGATTGAACTGACAACCCTGGGTTTAGCAGCCCAATGCTCAGACCACTGAGCTATCCCACCCCCCATGACTTTTCTTACTCCAGGGAAAGATTGTAACTTGTCATTGAACACTGTGCAGGGCTTATATATCCCATAAGCAGTCTCTGAAATTTCTGGGAAATCCACAGATATTCAGCAATACATCACTCAGAGCCAGTGTACAGTCTGGCCCTATGTAAATAATACAGATGCTCAGTGACAGACTCTTGATTTGTATTGCTTCACTCAGGCAAAATAAAAATAAAATTAAATTAAGGTATAAAAAGTGAAGGTTAAGCAGACAAAAACTGAGGGTGTTTGTCTAAAGAAAAAAGAAGAACAGGAGTACTTGTGGCACCTTAGAGACTAACAAATTTATTAGAGCATAAGCTTTCGTGGACTACAGCCCACTTCTTCGAAAGCTTATGCTCTAATAAATTTGTTAGTCTCTAAGGTGCCACAAGTACTCCTGTTCTCTTTTTGCGGATACAGACTAACACGGCTGTTACTCTGAAATTTGTCTAAAGAGTTACTAAGGTGCTGAACAGACCAGCCGTGCAGTGCCTACACAGAGCCTAATTCTGCTACCCCAAAGCTGAGTATCACATTGGTCCAGTAGGTCCAAAGAGTACCTTAATTCTCTTTTGCATCATTATTGTTATTATTAATCGTTTGTATTGCAGTAGCACCTAAAAGGCCCCAGTCAAGCATCAGGGGACCATTGTGCTGAGCACTCTATGAACACAACAAAAGATTGCCCCTGCTTCAAACATCTTATATTCTATAGCTTCAATCCTAACACAAACTTCTATTTTACTACTGAAATTTACTACTGGGAGTAATCCCATTGAAGTCACTTGTAGTAGTAAAATTAAGCACGTACATAAGTGTTTGCAGCAACGGGGCCTAAGCAGACATATCCTCTGCTTTTGACTTCAGACTTGTAATACAGCATTGAATTCCACCCTCTCCTCCATTTTTATTTAACAATGGATTTACTTTTATCTTTATTTTCACTACTCTAAAAGTGGAAGGGTATTTAACTGACAAATGTGACTGCACAAATACAAATTTAGACACTTTAAAAATACATGTGAACATTTAAAGTATTGTGTGTATTAGATCAATTGCAGTGGATGAGTTAGTACAAAAACAAGGATTATACAATCTGCACTTTGATGCACTTGAATGGATCCTTGCACCTGGGCAGAATTTCATTGAAGAGGGCTCTGCCTAGGCAAAAAGATGGTGCATATAGATTGGATTGCAGGGTCAGGGCCATTGCCTGGAAAGGAAAAGCATCAAAAATAATTTGATTGAGGTATTTAAGATTGGGAAAGTCACTGTAAAAGTCATCAGTCTCACCTTTTGACTCCTTACGCTAGCAAGAGAAGAAGAAAAAAATCAACCAAGCAATGAATTTAGAACAATTTTTGAAAAAAATACCTTCTTTGTATCACATTCTCAGGCTGTGGAATTTGCTGCTGCAGTAGGTCATCAGGTTAAATACTATGGCTGGATAATTTTATCACTCATAATGGGCCAAATCCTTCTCCTTTAATCCATGCACGTAGTTCTATTGACTTTACTAAAAGTACTTGTTTGCAAGAGACAGCAGGATTTAGCTGAATAGTCGTAGGATAGCTGTGCCAGATAAAATAACAAATGTAATCAAGTCTTTTTCTTCAGAGCATACACTGTTTACTTAAGAGGTTAGTAAGGAAGGATTTTTCATTTACCATTTCATAATTAGGTCAGAGCATTTTCGAGCAACAGATACTGACTGCTGCTAGGGGTAAAGGCTCAGAGATGAACCTATTGTCTTCTCCAGTGTTGCAAACCTTTTCCCCAGTGTAACTGTAGTTTATTCTGTAAGTATATATTATAGGACACTTACATGTGGGTATTGACAAAATGGGCAGAAAAGCCACAGAAATTTTTTTGAAATATTTGAACTTGTATTAGTTTTTGAACTCTTCTTAACCAAGCATGCAAATGATTGCCCCTCTCCTCAGCCACAATGTTGTAAATTATACATTAGTGGTATGAATTACAAGCCATGTTTCTGTCTGGACTGAAGTTGGATATCCATTTCTAAGTCTTCCAGAATAAAGGTTGCTAATAGAAACCATTCTTAACAATAGCAATAGCCCGCGGTTTCCTTTAATTTTGTAAGGATTTGCATCCTTTGCCCTTTTCAGAGGGGAAAATGACTAAAATCAAACTTTGCAAATGGAATCCTGAGTTCCAGAAAACTATAGGTTTTAGTGGCATTTAGTAAAGAAATCATTCTTAGCAAAAAACTGAGTTGCCAATGGGATAGGATGGATTAAGGCCTATGCACTATAGACAAGTCTAGAGTAATGCTTCTGCAGTCAAGTAATGATGTCAGAATCTCATCCCTCGTTAAAAAAGAGTTTCTAGCTCTGTTAATTGCAAAGAAAACCTTGAAAGTGACCTGAGTATAATGTAATCAGTGCTGTTATTAGCAGGACTAGGTTACCCTCCTGGCTTGCTGGAGGGAGGGGACCACTTCTGCTGCTCCCAACTCTCCTGAGGGGGGACCTCTTCTGTAATCTCTGCCATTCTCTAGGGGAGGGGACCCAAGATGTCATGCCTATCTCTCTGTGTGGGAGATACCTCTGCTGTCACCCATACCACTCACAAGGGTAGGGGTCCTGGCTGCCACTGCTCCTTGCCAGGTTGGCATTCTCTCCACAGCTCACTCTCTCACTCTTTTGGTCTCTCCCTTACTCTCCAGAGTGAGAGGGGAAGACTAAGTGGTGGAAAGTAGGCAATAATAAATATGGGATACAGAATGAATGAGGAGGGAGAGAAAATGAATGTGTAGATGGAATGAGGGAGGAATAGAGTAAGAGTAGGAGAGTCTTCACTCGGAGATGTTACATTTCAATGTGGGTAGCCATTTGTTCTACACACAGTGGGAACACTGGTCCTCACCTCACCCCTTAGCATAGAAATGGTTGGGAGAGTTACTATCTCCTTGGAGCTGGGGTTCCTGCATATGGGTTGATTAGGAGGAGCACACCTACACCACCCTGCCACCGCAGTAGAGGTCTCTTTCTGCTGCCATCCCATCCTGGTTTTGTTTGGGTGGTGCTGGGTATATAGGGAATTCTGCACTCGGGTGGGAGGAGGATGAGTCCTTTCTTCTCCTGGATGGACCCAAGATCACCTGGAGACAAGGAGTAGGGAAGAGATCAGGTGTGGCCCAGACTACTCAAAAGGAAATGGTGGCAGACCCCTACCACCCAGAAGATTGCATTTGTGGATGCTCCTGGCTGCCAGCATCCCACGTGGTGCGATGGTGTGAAGATCAAGGCTATGGCAGGGATCGGACTAAAGGGAGCCCATGTGGTGGTGAGTCTGGGGATTGCCTTAATCTGATCCTGATTCTGCCAATTTTACTCACATCGAATAGTCCCTTACTCCACCAGTAATCTCATTAAAACAAGTGGAATAGTGGCGGAAATGAGCATTACTCAGCTGGAGTAAAGTCTGCAGAACTGGGCTGAGTCTTAATAAACCAGAACTATCTGAAGTTAAATCATCCATCCTTGTATAGGCGTAGCAGGTGAATTACGTGTTGAATATGCATGAAGGAGCAAAACCACCATCCACTTGACGTTCCATTCATTCTGCTAGTCCAATCATGTGGATTTTAGGTATTTGAATAGATTAAAAATCACAGCCATTTTCCAGCAGGGCTTTTCTCAGTAATTACCTCCCGGAGCCCACTCAGAAACGCTTTCAAAAGGAACACGATGCCTCCCGGCTTGATTTCCTCCTCCACCTCCTCCTGATGCATCAGCACCACCAGCAGCTCCTGCTACTTCCCCCTCCCCCCCCGAAAGAGGGGGTTTACCTTTCAACTAACCAGACGCTCCCGGCGCCTCGCGCTCAGAAGTTGGACTAGTGGAAACAGGTGCCCTGCGCGGCCGCCTCCCGCGCCTTTCGCTCGGGAGCGCTCCGGCTCCCACCACTGCCGCCCCCTCGCCCCCAGCGCCGGCCCGGGCGGGGAGTGCGCGCGCGCTGCGCCGGGGACTGGAGCTGCGCGGGTGCAGCTCGCCCCACGCACGTGAGATTTCGCCTTTCCCCGGCGGCTACTGCTGCTGCTGTTGCTGCCGCCTCGCGAAGCAGCATCTCCCCAGCGCGGAGCCGGGCGGCTTCGCCTTTTCCTTCAGCTATTTGCAGCTCGTCATTTCCGCCAGGCTCCCGGCCGTGCGGGAGAAAGAGACAAGCGTGGAGCTCGGGGAGCTGCCGTGAAGGCGGGGGAGACAGTGGCTGAGCCCCAGCCCCTTGGCCGCCTGCTCAGCCGCCCAGCCGCTCACGCCCTCTGCCTTCGGAGCAGTCCGGGGATCGCTTGGGAGCAGCGGGGGCGGGAGGCCCGAGGCGACTGAGCGTGCAGCAGCAGCAGCCGCCGCCTCCCCCTCCCCGCCGAGCCAGCAACATGAATTGAAACCCCGAGAGAGACGCAGAAGCAGAGCCAGCGAGCGGGAGAGGCGCGCGGGGCTTTGGTGGCGTCCCCTCCACTGGCGGGCTCGGGCGCTGAGGCTGGGCTGCGAGAGGCTTGCCGAGTACGGGGCTGTTGGAAAACCTACTACAGCAAAAAGCAACCTCGACCCTTCTCTCACCTGCCCCCCACCGCCACCACCTCCAGCTCCTCGGCTGCCCGGGAGGACAAGGGGAGTGGGTCCGCGCTTCTCCGCCCGCCAAAGAGGCGGCCAAGTCCCCGATGGCTCTCATCATGGAACCCGTGAGTAAATGGTCTCCGAGTCAAGTGGTGGACTGGATGAAAGGTAACTAGCGTGGCCAGGCTGTGTGGTATCCCCGGGGTCTCTGCCCCCCCCCCCCCCTTGCTGTGGGCTCGGCAGCATTCCCTGCATTTGTGTGTCCGAGCTGGTGTAATCTGGGTGTCACGCACGTTTGTCTTATGCTTTCCTCCCCCCCCCCCCCCCGCGAACTGGTGCCGTGTGGTGCGATGGCTGAGAAATAACCTGCCCCCGGGTCCGCAGCCCGAGAGGACAGGATCCGTGTCCCGCTCAGTCTGTTACACGTGAGACTTTAGCTGAACCTGGATGGACATTTCTTAGCGCCCTTCCGTGCCGCTGCCCCTCCGCCAGCAGGTGCTGCTGCTCTCCGTGGCCAGATGCCAGCTCTGGGGCTGGAGAGGCACCGAGCGGTCCCGTCCCTCTGACCCTGCTGCTGCCCTGGTGTGCTCGGCCGGGGTCCCCGCACTCGGCCGCCACTCAGCGGGGCCGAGTCCGATGGGGCGCTGCTGGGAGAGAGCCTGGTCCATAGGAATCAAGTTCTCTCCGTCTCATCATCGTCGTCCCCTGTCATCAGGCAGGTATTTGATCCGCCACCGCCAGCCGCCTTCTTCCCCGCCCAGCCTCTTTCTTTCACTCCTGGAGCGGCCAGGGGATTTGCCTGGCCCGCGGGACCTGCCCTTCCCACCCCACCGCTCTGGAGGGGAGCGGTGGTTCATTGCTGCGTTACCCTTCACAACTCCTGTCGGCCAGCCCAGCCCGTCTGAGCGCGGGATCGCCAGAGCTGCCCCTGGTCCTCACACGCCGGTCCGGGTGGCTGGTTCTCAGTCGCTAGCGTGCTGGTTTCCGCTGTGGGGCGAGCGGCTTGGCGTGTTTGGCATTGCTGGGTGAGGGCGATTGGTTCCCTCTCCCTGTGCCGCCAGAGCGATCGGCCGCCTCTAACCCTGGCTGCCGGTGGAGTATTTGCTTATAGGTGGCCGGTATATGGTGGCTGTACAGCCGGGGAGCGCAACAGTTCCCTTATCTCTCTCCCCGCAAAATTTCATCCACTTACATCAGTGGGGATGCTAGATCCTTCCAGTCTTTTAAGGCGTTTTCCCCGTTTTTATTGAGACTGAATGTCATTTGCACCCTTCTTTCCTCCTATTTACGTCGTAAGACTGCCTGACGCCTCAATCCACTATCTTTGTAACGCGCATAGTCTTTGCCTGCTCAATTATTGTTGTATGGGAATGGAAGGAGAGTGGTTTAACATCCCCCCCTCCCACCGAGATGTATTTCATACACTGTAATTCACATGCTTTAAGATTCAGTACCTATGTTCAGGAGGAAACCGGGTGGATTGTTTTAAAAATTAACTCCCAGTACTTGAGCATGAAAATGGATCTGTTTTTTTTTTTAAATAGCTTAGCTGGTCCAATTAAAAAAAACCACATTACATATTTGAGCTCAGGCTATTCTTGATAGAGGGGGTATGAAATGACTCATATAATAAAAGTTTAACATAATGTCTGATGTTAGTTAATAGAGATGACTATTTAAATGCATGCTTTAATCATTGTACTTTGTCTTCAGAGGATTAAAACTTTAAGCAAGATCTACCATATGAGAGAGATGTAATCAGTCCATTTTTAGTCAGGGGTTTCATTTCCTGTGAGCACCAAAAGAAGCCTCCCTCCTTGAATGAAGCATTGGAAATCAATATCTTGTTATAAAATATATTTCACTGTATAAAACAACGCCTGTCTAAACCCTAGATGCTAGTAAAAGTTTTAAAAAGCTTTCTGATCATGATCTAAGATGTATTATTTACATTGACCTGGAACTCTTTATTGAACTGTATTTATTTACCCCACACCTCAAGCCCTTAAAAACAAATCTTATCCAGATAGGAATTGAGCTTTGACATGTTTTCATATTATTTTATATACAGATACAGTTTTAAAACTCTAATTTAAAAACCAGAATTTTTAGTATTTCTAATCTAGGCTGCAGCTGTGATTTGAATAACTCACATCTAGTATTATGTATCCTTTAATAAAGACAGCACAACTGGATGAATATGACTTTTGAACAACTGTTACATTGTGGGAGTTCTTCATAACATGTTGTGCCCTACTAATGTGACAGCGTCATCATCCTTAAAATTTGAGGCACATAGCATATGTTTTCAGTTATTCCACCCTGGCATTTATAGCCATAAATAGAGTTATAATGTTCAGTAACACTCACATTTCTTGCTGCTGCAGAAGTCCTCTCCATCCACAGAACTTAAAAACAAACAAAAAAACATGACCACCCTGGTCATTCATCATCTAAGAAATTACAGAGTAACCAAATTTTACAAAGCTATTGAAACAGGCTGAAAGTTGTCAATATTGATAGTATGTACCTGGTAACTGTAAAATATTTTATGAGAAGTATTAATTTAAAAAAGTCCAATAAAAGTAAAAGATTACAGAATATTTGGGAGCTTTCTCAATTGATGGCTTAGAATATTCTTTGTAAACTTTCTCCACTATTGATTTTTAAACAAGCTATAGTCTCTCCCTTCTTGGCTTAGTAGATTTGGGAAGAGTGGGTTTTAGCCTATTTTTAGCTATAACATATTTTCCAGTCCTGCCCTAGAAATGTAATAACATAAATTTTTTTTTTTAGAAAAAAATGTGTTGGCAAGATGTAGCCATTATATATTTTTGCTGAAAATACTGCACCTATGTAAAATCAGTCATTAAAATAATATCAGCTTGTTTATGATTAGTCTAAAATGATCTAGTATTTAAAATTATATCACTATTTAAATACTTGTAGCCTGAAACCTGTGTCTAGAGATCACTGTATCATCTGTCTGAAAAAAACAATATGTGCAAGCTTATAAAAGAAACATGGTTAACACAAATTATGCTTGAATTTTATGTTGCAAAACTTGATTTTAAATGTATCTAAACTCAGAATTTAGTTTGGCTTTAGTTGATCTTGTCTACATTTACCGGCGGATTGATGCTGCAGCGGTCAATTTAGTGGGTCTAGTGAAGACCCGCTAAATCGACCACCAATCGCTCTCCCGTCGAGAAGAGTAAGGGGAGTCAACAGGAGAGCGTCTCCCGTTGACATCGCGTAGTGTGGACCCCGTGGTAAGTAGATCTAAGCTACATTGATTTGACTTACACTATTTACGTAACTCAAATTACGTAGCTTAGATTGACTTTCCCCTTTAGTGTAGACAAGGCCTTAGCAATGAAACTGCAGTAGCAGAGCAAGTAATACTGATGACATACTTAAAAGTTTTAAAGTAATGTTAAATTGTTCTTAATCTTTGTAGGAATGAAATGAAAATTCAAATTACTCAGGAGGTGGCAGTGAAATAATTTCCTTAAAAAAGGATAGAATGGCCTCTTGAGCGTTAATACTAAAGGAATGTAGGAAACAATTGTGGGGTTTTCTAGTGCATGGAAGTGTGGAGATTGAAGGGGTGGTGATATTGCCAAGTTATGCAAGTAACCTAATCCTCCGTGAACAGACATACAGCACTTCTAACCTTCCCTTTCTTTCTTTTTGTACTTGGCACCCAAGGTGAAAGCTCACGTTCATTGCATCTCATTATAAAAGAAGCCTCAACATTTGACTAGAACTCTCTGAACAGAAAAATGTAGATAAATGACATAATTTTATAACTCTTTGGTTTAGAAATTAGAAACATAAACAGTGGTGTGGTGTACTGTAATTGCTGAATAATGACATGCGAACAATTGGAAATACTGTAATGGAAAAGGTTAAGTGGAGGTGGTCACAATGACTTCACCCCCATCATTATTGTTCTAAAGTATTGCAGTTTTTTACAAATTATCTGATGGTAGCATTTGATATCCACTTCAATCACTTTTTGTTTTCCTAATGCTTTTAAACATTTATTTCTAACAGTATTACAAAAAAAAAGTCTCAAGTAAATAGCGTATTCATATGGTTAATAGATACTAATTTGTATCTATAAAAAGATAAAGAAATAAAATGTGTAATTAGTACATCTGTCTTATTTCATTAGAACTTCAGTGGAACGCTGAGGAAAATGCATTAAAGATCTTCATAATAATGGAGATCAGTCCTCGTTTGCATCCATTGCACGGAATCTTCTTTATTAGAAATCAAGTGCTCTTTGAATGTTTTTTAAAAATTGGGTTATTTTGTTAAACTGTAAACACTGAACTCGGTTATAACAGCTTGCTTTCCATAGGTGTTCAATTATAGAATGTGTCTGCTAAGGATAGATCTCTCAGCTTTTAGTGTTCAAAGCACAAAATCTTTTTTAAAAAAGAAAAAAAATTCCAACTGATTACTATTAGCTGGAAGGTGTGTGTGTGAGGAATGCAACACTTCAGATGATTGCTTTTGGTATTTATGTGATGATAATCTTACTGGTATAAATTGAACACTTGCAATAAATGGCCCAGCCTGGAATTATTTTTTCAGGCAAAAGAGGGGCATTTTGCTGGAGTAAGGACTAAAGGATTGAGCTCTATATTAAAAATGGAGATAAACTAATGTAAGTAAAGCATTATAAGCTCAGAAGCAGTATGTAATATATCTAGACTTCAGGAGGAGATCTAGGTGTGCAAGGAATAGGAATGAAGTCCATGGATATTTCATTGGATAAAAATCTCTTAAAGTAAGATTTTAAACTTCTAATAATTCCAATATACACAATGTGGCCCAATAGTTTTCAAATAATCTATGGATTCCAGTAAAGAAATGGACATAGTGGTTAGAGAATTGGCTTAGTGCTTAGTTGGTCAACATTCAAATGACCAGTGAGAATCTATAAAAGTGGAAGAATCCATATACGCTAGTCACAACTCAC